AGAGGCAAGGAGAGCAATGGCTTATAGAAACCCCCGTGTGGTTGGAAGCATTCTATGTCTGCCATCGACTATGTCAAGCATCCAGAAAGGTAAGCATTCCAAAACAAACCCCTATTCTGGTGAAAATTGATACCTATCTAATGTATACACATCAGCCCGGTATAGCTCTGGGGGAGCCTCCGGGTCTCACTCAGTAAATAGCGTTTCATTACATTCAACGCTGGTTTTTTCATTTGTAAGTGAGAGTATGTTAAGTTGAGCATTAGTGTATGATTTTGTGTGTTTGAAGTTTTCTCATGAGTAGCATCCCTGCACTCCACGAGGACAGAGAGGAGTCGAGGCACCACATACACAGGTGGTGTGTGTGGTGCTGCTGCAGAAGGCAGCAACATTAGCTCACAGAATGAGTGAAGCTGCTGGTCATGGGGGACCTAAATCATGGAGAGATAAATTGGGAAGCAAGGAATCCCCATGGAGGGGACGAAACATGGGGAGCAAAGTTAGTAGATGTTATAGACAGGAATTTCCTAACATACCATGTGAAGGAAGACACAAGGGAAAGAGGAAGAGATGCACCAAACCTATTAGACCTGATTTTCACCCAGAAAGTAGAAGACATTGAGAATTTGGAGCATGAAATACCTCTAGGGGGGGCCAGCGACCATTGTGTCCTAGTCTTTGACTACATGATGGAATTCAAACTTGTGACCATGGGACAAGAAGTCTGGGAAAGGAGAGTTGACTACAGGAAAGTTGACACAGGAAAGGGGACTACAGGAGGATAAGGAACTATCTGGGAGAAGTGCAGTGGGAGGAAGAAATTGAGGAAAAACAGTCCAAGATATGATGGACCTAGTCATAAGGAAATGCCAGGAGGCTGAAGAGAGATTTATACCAACAGTAAAGGGAAAAAAAAGAGGGACTATAATAACCCATGGTTTAATAGACCGTGTCAGGAAGCAAAAATGGCCAGCAGGCGGGAGTGGAGGAAGTACAGAAGACAGAGGACAACAGGATCAGATGCAACAAAGCTAGGAACGATTACATTAACATAAGACGAACATTGGAAAGGAACTATGAGAACAATATTGCGATCAAAGTGAAAAAGCAACCTATATTACTACAGTCATATAAGAAGAAAAATGTCAGTGAACGACCAAGTGACAAGACTAAGGAAAACAGCGGAGGCATATACTGAAAGCGACAAGGAAATCTGCGAGGCACTGAATGCTAGTTTCCATGGAGTGTTAACAACCGAGCCTGAGCAGCTCCTATTGTTAGAAGAGATTGCCCTAGATGAAAGCCTATCAGATATAGAGGTGACAGCAGGGGAGGTAATGAAACAGTTGACAACACTGGATGCAAATAAAGCGGTTGGACCAGACAAAGTATCACAGTGGATATTAAGAGAGGCAGCGCAGGCCCTCAGCATACCTCTAGCAATGATCTATAATGAGTCACTTATGTCGGGAGAATTGCCCAGTTGCTGGAAGAAGGCAAATGTCGTACCGATTTTCAAGAAAGGCGATAGGGAGGAGGCACTCATCTATAGACCTGTATCACTGACAAGCATCCCCTGTAAAATACTTGAAAGAATAATTAGGCTACGACTGGCTGCAGACCAGGAGAACGTTAGGTTTGTGATCAAACATCAACATGGGTTCTGGAAAGGAAAATCGTGCCTAACAAACCTTTTGGAATTCTATGATAAAATAACTAGAATAAGATAGGACAGAGATGGTTGGGCAGACTGTATATTTCTGGACTGCCAAAAAGCCTTTGATACAGTACTGCACATGAGACTGCTGTTCAAACTCGAGAGGCAGGCGGGAGTGGGAGGAAAGGCCTTAGCATAAATAAGGAACTACCTAACAGGAAGGAGCCAAAGAGTTATGGTAAGGGGCGAGAAGTCGGACTGGCGAACAGTAACGAGCGGAGTACCTCAAAGATCGGTGCTGGGACCAATTCTATTTCTAATATATGTTAACAACATGTTTACAGGAGTAGAGTCCTACATGTCGATGTTCACAATGACGGAAAGTTGATGAGAAGAGTTGTGACAGGTAAGGATTGCAGGATCCTCCAAGAGGACCTGAACAGGTTGCAGAGATGGTCAGAGAAATGGCTACTGGAGTTCAACACCAGCAAATGTAAAGTTATGGAAATGGGACTAGGTGATAGGAAACCAAAGGGACAGTACACAATGAAGGGGAACTGCCTACCTGTGACGACGCGAGAAAGAGACCTGGGCGTGGACGTATCGCCTAATCTATCTCCTGAAGCACATATAAATAGGATAACGACAGCAGCATACTCTACACTGGCAAAAGTTAGAACATCATTCAGAAACCTAAGTAAGGAGGCATTTAGGGTGCTTTACACTACCTACATGAGGCCAGTCTTAGAGTATGCCGCCTCATCATGGAGTCCCCATCTGAAGAAGCATATTAGAAAACTGGAAAAGGTTCAGAGGTTTGCAACGAGACTCGTCCCAGAGTTACGATGGATGGGGTATGAGGAGCGCCTGAAGGAACTGTGCCTTACGACACTAGAAAGAAGAAGGGAGAGGGGGGAACATGATAGGAACATATAAAATACTCAGGGGGATTGACAGAGTGGACATAGACGAAATGTTCACACAGAATAGTAACAGTTCGAGGGGACATGGGTGGAAGCTGGAAACTCATATGAGTCACAGGGATGTTAGGAAGTTTTCTTGTAGTGTGAGAGTAGTGGGAAAATGGAATGCACTTAAGGAACAGGTTTTGGAAGCAAATATTATTCATAATTTTAAAACTAGGTATGATAGGGAAATAGGACCGTAGTCATTGCTGTAAACAACCCATGCTCGAAAGGTGGGATCCAAGAGTCGATGCTCGATCCTGCAGACACAAATAGGTGAGTACAGGTTGTGTGGTGTGTGCTCGTGAGGTACCCCACCTCACTGTGGGAGGTTATTGACCTCCATTATATCTGAGTGACTGGAACACTATCATTTATCTGGTGAATGAGAAATTATTCCATGTTAGTGTATTCTCCTAAGAACACAGGAAATTTCCTGTTTTCCTGGAAGCCCTGGAGGGCTTCCTCCAGATAAGAGGCTTGTAGCTCTATACAAATAACTTAGGTGGCCCAAAGATTTCAGAGAGAGAATGTAAAATACAGTATGTAAATGATTATATTGAAGATGTGATGCAATACCTTCATATTGTATTTATTAGGTTAACTATATCATACACTCCAGCTATTTAACACCCATGGTCAGTCCTCGCCACAAAAGTAAATATTCATTGGGTCGAATAGATGTGTTTGGTCAGCCAGTACTATTACCATTGTGGCCAAGCAGTAGTTTTTGTTTCATCTGATGCACAAGCTTCCCTCCATACATAACTATGGCTTTTGAAGCCTGGCATGATACTAAGGCTTACTGGCAACAGCATTTGACCACCAAAGAGCTAACAAGAGCTTACCATAAAACACACATTGTTATACTGTATATTTTTCATTGTTATAATATATTATATATATATACTACGATTGCCCCTACTTACGACAATTTCGAGTTACGATGTAAATTTCATTGAAAAATGTGACTCGACATCCGATGGGGTCGTCGACTTCCAATATTTGTTGGTACACATTCGGGTCGACCGAGCGCATGGCTCCCGGTCACGCGGCCGACCTGCCTCAGTTTACTACAGCTGCCCGCTTAGTGACAAACGCGCCTATAAGAAATTCCGCTTTTGTGGTGATTTTTTTTGCCTTTTGAACATTAAAGTAATTATTATATATCATGCCATGAGTCCCAGGAAAGTCAGTGGTAAGGTTCAACATATGAAAACCTATGTAAGGATGACCATAGAGCAGAAACAAGAGTACAGAATGTCTCTTCCTCAACAATTAAGAAAATGTGTGCAGCATGGGAAGAATTGCAAACCTTTGCTGAAACGACTCGCCCAAATCAAGCTGCAGTAGGTCGTTACCTTAACCTATTCAATGACACTGTGATGCATCATTACAGGCAAATGTTAAAACGAAGGGAAAAACAAATGTCTCGACAAATTTGTAGTGAGACAAACAAGCACTGAACCACAGCCAGGTCCTAGGTGTGTTCAGACAAAATGTAGGAGAGAGAGTACCCCAGTAAAACATCACTGCCTGATGTTATAATGGAAGGGGACTCCCCTTCCAAACAGTAACAACTCTCCTCCTCCCCCTCATCACCATCTTCCATACGCCATCAAGAGCCCTACTTAAAGGTAAGAGAAACGTTGGTACTGTATTGTAGTTAGAAAAAACATTGTATTCAGTATAAAATTGTATTTGTATGTTAATATTTTGGAGGGTGGGGAACGGATTAATTCAATTCCCTTTATTTCTTATGGGAAAAATCGCTTCGACTTACGATATTTCGATATACGATCCGTCTCTGGGAACGGATTAGCATTGTAAGTCGAGGCCCCATTGTATAATAGATTATGTTTATATAATATATGCAGGAAATATATTATTATATATTCCCTGCAAATAGCAATGGCTTGTTGTACAAAAGATGGTGTGGAGTTTATACACATGGCAGTCTATTTCACAGGAAAATGTAGAACGAAGTGGCACAGTTGGTTGCTAGAAACACACAGAATTCTGAGAGATGTGAGGAAAATGGTCATATATTCATATATGGTGAAGGTGGTTTGCATTTGTTACTAATTGGAAGAGACAGTGAAATTCTTCCACATTCACACTTTTACAAACAGGCACATTAGAGCACCATAACATCTAGTGGAACTAATGCACATGTTTCTCAATAACTAGAAAATGGAATCTAGAATTATAACTTATTTCCTATACTAAAAGACAGATAAGCATATACACACACCATGACACTGCTACTCTATAGCATTCTCCACTGATTAAAAAAAAGCATAATGCTCTTATTATTCAGCTGCACCTTAATATAGTTCCTATGTGGCCAATAATTTAGCTTCCAAGACCACCCGCAGGTACGTATTTGACGAAGTGCAGGAGAATAGCATGGAGATCTGGAAGTTTGAAATGCTGCGACTCATTCGGGAGTACGATATGAAGCCAGCTCTCATTCCTCCATTTGTCGTAATTGAGTATTTGTGGCGGTTCTTCAAAAAAGTCTGGAAGCTCTCTTGTCGGAAAGAAAGAGAAAATTGTGAGTTTTCATGAAGCTGTATGCATGTTACTATATACCTGATTTACCCGAGAGCCACTAACCCTAGTGGCCTCAACAAGGACAGGAAGCTGGTGGCGTGTCGAAAGTCATATATGTCATCTATTAATCTTGCCTATTTTTATCGTTGTTAATTTTTAGTTTGCAGTGATATTCCTGCATGGGTCCTAAGCCTCCGACTTGCCCAGTATGTGTTACTCATGGAAGGGTGTGCACTTGATGCGAGAGTGTGTCGTTATTGCATGAGATGTGATAATGATAATGATGATAATGTATTGTGTTTATCTCATTTGTATCCTTATAGTGGAGGACTACATGAAGGACACATTGGAGTCACTGAAGCTTTTTGAGAAGGAGTCCATTATGACGTACTTGGCCAGGATTGCATACACCGAGGAATGCAGCATTGATAACCGGGTCAAGAGAATGTCCGAGAAGTAGGTGGTTACACATGGAGATTTTTATGAACATAATATTAATGTTTCCAAGTTGTCATATGCATATGTTTCCTAAGGCAAGATCTTGTTGGCTCCTGGTTAGGAGCTTATACCATCAGGGCATTTAAAAACTTTTCTGTGGGGAGCCCCTACGGCTCTCTGGAGCTTATCGGGCTAATGTATGTTATATTAGACTGGGACATTAGCTAAGGAGTTCAGACCTACCAGGGACCAGCGCCAGAACCTGGCCCCTTCAGAGAGGTTTCAGGGAGCAATGGCCCTGGAAAACCCCCTTTGTGGTTGGGGTTTTCCTTATCTGCCATCGACCGGGGTTAGGCACCCAGAAAGGTAGGCATAACAAAACAAACCCCACATTGTAAAAAACTAAAACAAAAAACCGAACAGAGAAGTAGAAACTCCCTACAATCCCAAGCAAACAAGCAAACATCACACTTTACTGCTGCGCCGATCGTCCGCACAGCCCTCCCCGCCCCGAGAGGGGGAGGAGGAAGCCCTGGACTTACTGCGCCGGCTGCCTAGCTTCAGTTCGTAAGCTAATGTCAACCGGGAATGACGCTTCTCTGGCCTCAGTTTCTTAGGCGGTGTTTGCTTTGTGTGGCGTTCACTGCCGTGTGTTGTGTTGTGCGGTGGCCAGGAGTACCTCATCAGTGCCGGGGCTCCATGTGCTTAGTGGCTTACTTTCCTAAGCGTCTTCTAAGTACTGCCCTTGCGTAACAGGGTTATCTTCCCTGGGGCGTTCGGGAACCATTTCAGTAGAGGTTCTTGCTGCTCAGCATTTGCCTCGCCCTTGGGCCCAGCTGGGTCTTGGGGCCCTTGTTTGGCCCTGGGTAGGGATTGGTATTGTGCTGGTCAGGGAGTCAAGGTGTTGTGCGACCTGCCACCTAAGCGGCGACCGGTTCCTGTTGCCTCTGGAGACGGTGTACTTTTGCGGGGGTTTTCTTTCGTTTTTCTTTTCCAGTGCCTGGTGGGGGTCTGCTTAGTGTGGCTATAGTTCCACTGGTAGTGTTTGGTGGCCCTCTGCTAGGCCCCTGTGATTGTACATGTCGCAGGGGTTTTCAGTGCTAATCTCTACCCTTTTGTTATTTTGGGGTTTCTTAACCAGTTAGCAACACCTCGCCCGGGCTTCCCGTAGCAGTCAGCCTACAGGCCATGGAAACCCCTGTCTGGGCTCGGTGGACTTGTGTCTTCCGGGTCCCAACCCGTCTTGTACGGGATCGTTGGTTGCTGTGCCCTCATCTCCGGGTGACAGTCGCCACTTTTATCTCTGTCCTGCTGCCTGTTGGGTCACTGACACCTTGACCTGGAGTCTTGCGAGAGAGATTCTCTGCTTGTTCTCCAGTACTCTCCTGGTGTTATTACTGTTCAGAGTACAGGCGGCATCTGTGTTGCAAGCTAGGTTAGGTTGCTGCAGCATGCTAGGTTGGTTTCCCACTCGGATGCCCCGATGCCGCCCCATTTTGGTTAGGTGCTGTTCGCCCCTTTCCCTCCCTGTTCCCGTCTCCAGACCATCTGCGGGTTTTGGGGTCGGGGCTGGGTTTAGTTGGGGCCGAGACTCAGGCGGATTTTGGGGGCTGCCCCGTTCGGGTTGGGGGACGGAGGTTTTTCGAGCCAGTTCCTCATGCCAAGGCTTCTGGATCTTACCAGCGGCCCTTTCTTGCTGCCTTTCCCATGGACTCTTCCTTTTCTTTAAGGGCAGAGGGCTTGGAGGACGGCTCTGCCCCGGGGCCCTGTGTTGCTGGTTCCCGGGGCTGTGGGGGATGCCTGCTAGCAGTTCTGAGGCAGTTAGCCCCTGCCTGGATTTTCTGCTTTTGGGTGGAGTTTTTCGCCCATCCAGTCTGCCTGCTTCCCACTTTTGCTGGCGTGTTTTCGTATCTTTAGCGTCAGTCACAGCCCTCTTTTCTGGCTGCCATTTTCGTCTGCCGGTTTCCCGGTGTAGCCACCAGGGCGGCGTTGCGGTTTGTTTACATGCGCCTGGGTGTGCGAGCGAGTTTCTTGGGTGAGTTTTCACCTTTTTCAGGGGTTTTATTCTCCTGTTGTCGTTTCTTTGCTTCTCTGGTGTTTTCTGCCCGTTTCCTATTCCTCTGGGAATGTTTGAGTGTTGATTTTACACTGTGTTTCCCATTTTGTCTGTTTTGGGTCTGGGCTCTAGGGTTTAGGCTCAGTGTCCCTGGCTGTTATGCTTGCTCCCACACCTTGTCCCTCGGTTTTCGGTCTGTTTTGACCGTTTTCCTGGGGGTTCTGTCTGGGGGTTGTGCTTTGCTTTTCTGTGGTGTTTCTCCGCCGGCAAATGTGGTGGTTAGGGCTCCCCCTGGTTCGATTCCAGGTTCCTCTGGGTTCTTTGGTTTCGTTCCGGAGGTATCTTCTTCTTGGGGCCCCCCCCTTTGTGGGTTCGGGGGGCTTTGTTTCCTCGTGTGTGACCCGGTTCTGCCCTCCGGAGTTCTGGGGTCTTCCTGGCTTGCAGACTGATCTTTTTGGGTCTTGGCACGTGTTGTGGTCGTGCTGGGACTTTGAGATTTTGTTGTCGAGGTGGGCCTTTTGATGCAGTTTTGTGCCTTCTTCGCTTGGCTGGCGTGGTGCTCTCTGCCCACTGGTCGGCGGCTTGTAATTTTCTTTTCAAGTGTATGTGTATGCATGTACATATGTACACTGTGTGTGTGTGTGCACATGTGTAATTACCTAAGTGTAATTACCTAAGTTTAGTTACAGGATGAGAGCTATGCTCGTGGTGTCCCGTCTTCCCAGCACTCTTTGTCATATAACGCTTTGAAACTACTGACGGTCTTGGCCTCCACCACCTTTTCCCCTAACTTGTTCTTAGGGAGTGTTCTCCCCTAACTTGTTCTTAGTATGTGCATATGCATGTGTGTGTAACATACCTTGTGTGTATGTATATATGTATGTGTATATACACAATATGTATATATGTGTATGTGTACTTTTTCTTTCGGAAGGGGCTCTGTTTCCTTTTCTGTTGACAGGGGGTTGGGGAAGCTGCTTGCTCTGTTGACTCTTGTATGGTCCTTCTGTTGGTGGGCGCTTTTGGTTGTCTTCCGGCCTCTGGTGGCGGCAGTGGACGGGTTCTTCCCCTTTGGAGGGTTCAGAGCTAGCGGGGTGGGTTTCTTCCCCTGCGATTCGTCATGTCATCTTAGTGGGTGCGTTGGGCGTGATCGATCCGTCCCATCCCTCTGGGGTTCCCGTCTGCTCTTTGCAGACATGGGCTTTTCGAATATGCAGTTCTTCTGGACTTCTTCAGTCTGTGCCCTGGTTTCTATGCCCTCCTCGGAGGACTATTGTCTCCTGTCTGGCTTCTGTTGGGGCCGGGTGCCTGGATGGTGGCCCTGGACCTCCAGGTCAAGTATTGGCACTTGGTGTATTTTTGCATCTTTACCGGATCTTGGTGCGCTGTCTGAGTCTGCTTGAGATTCGGTGTCTGGCCTACCTCGACAACTGGCTGGTGTGGGCTCCCAGTCCGTCTGCTTGTCTGCTCGCCAGGGGTGTGGTTCTTTCCAGATTGCTGGGTTTGGTTTCCTGGTGATCTGGAGGCCATTCCATCTGTTTCCGTCCCGGGTTCGGACCTGGGCCTTGATTAGGGTTATTAGGCCACTCCTTGTCTTTCCCTCCAGATGTGTTACTGCGGCTGTGGTCCCGCCTTCGGCTGTTTGTGTGGGGGTCCCGGGTTGCTCGAGCGGTTGTGCGGGAGTTTGAACTTCGACGTGCCGGTCTGCCCGCAGTGTCGGGTTTGGCTTCGGCGTCTGTTTGGTAACCTTCGGAGACTCCCCTTCTGCCTCTTGTAATCGTTGGGTTCGTTCCTCCGGGGATCTTGTGTTGGTGCTGCATCACCAGCTTCCTCTTTGGTGTTTTCGGGGGTTCCGTGCCATGGCACCTCCCTGAGCCTTCGCTCGAGGTGTTCACAGACGGGTCATCTTTCAGCTGGGGCTTTGTGACCAGTGCTCACTAGGTCGGCCAGGGATGGTGGAGTCTGTCCTTCCGTCGGGCTCACAGCATGGTTCGGGAGTTCGTGGCTGTCTGGTTTGCGCTTCGGAGGGTTTGGGTCACTCGGTGCTCTACCATTCAGCTCCATTCGGACTGTTCTCTGGTGGTTCTTGCCGGAACCACAGGGTTTCTCTTAGGTGTTGACCATTCTCGGGGTTTGGCTAACCGTGAGATTCATGTCCGAGGTGTGTCCTGCGTCCTGGCAGACAGCTGTCTCGGTTCATTCCTTTGTTCGCGGATTGGCCAGTCATCGCCGAATCGTTTCGTTGGCTCTGCTGGACGTATGAACTCCTAGCCATGGACGTCTTCAAGTCGGTGTGGTCTAGGCATCGCCTATTTTATGTGGCGCCCTTACCCACCTGCGAGGCGTTCACGTTGGATGCTTTTCAGCAGGACTGGTCTAGGTGGGGGTACCCGTTTCTTTTCTCCCAGTCCAGCTGTTGCTTCGGGTTCTGGCTCAGTTGCATCCCATTCCCACGAGAGCAGTCCTTATGGTTCCTTGGTGGCCGCCCAGCTTTCTTTTGAGACGCTGCTTGATAGGTGTCCGAACCCGGGGCGTTTTCCCGCGGCTCCACCTCTTTCAGCAGGTCGGATTGGTCCTGTACGTGACTTGTTTGGCCTTCTCCTCGGCTCTTCGCATCTGGTATTTTGACGCGGGTGTCACCATCTCTGTGGTGTTCAGGTGGCCTGGTTGACGGTGTCCCACCTGCGAGCTTCGTCTTGACGTTCCTGGTGTTTCTATGCACTTTTTCTTGCTCTTTGTACGTTGTCTTCTCTTTCGCATCGGGTTGTCTCGCCCTTTCTTGGGTTCTCAGGACTACAGTTATTTGATGTTTCTTACTGTTGCCTCATTTTGTGCGGTGCTGGTGGAGCCGCTCCGGCTTGCGTTCAGGGTGGACGTCACATCTGCCTGATTTCGTACGCTTTCTCGTTTTGTTTCACCTCCGGCCTGCTCATGCGTTGCCTGCGCTGTCCTGCTCCTTGAT